TGTGATCAATTTCACATGCACACACGCACGTGCAGAGACAGATTTCGATTATCATTCTCCGTTCTTATTTTGTGAGTCATATATATAGTTATGTATTGGTATGAGTACGAATAACAGAAAACGAGTTTGTTCACCACGTTGTTTATTTTCAATGTGTTCTGTGGGATTTATCTCGCAGTTTCTTAATCGCTCACAGATGTTCTCGTGTCAGCACGTTTCTGCTAGATACCGTGGCGTGAAGGTATTGGTAACTGCAGTTGACAAGGGTCGACTTCAATTGATCCAATTCTGTCTCTTGTTGGTGTCAGGTCAGCTAGCTGACTAAACAAGTTCTTCATCTGAACTTCTATGTCCAGCTGGCGAAGTCTCTTACGTGGGCAGCAAGATTTGTGGCCAAGTGATGGAGCCTCAAGCGTAACTTTGTATAAATTAATGGTTGGCAGGTTTCTCACGTACCTTTCTGGATTCGTTGGGAAAGACATCGGTTGTCGTTTCGACCCCATGTCATTTTGTCGGCGTTCCTGTGCTGATTTGACCTGGTTTTGCACGATTACTTCAACATAGTCCTGTAGGCTTTTGGCCGTGTATGGCACAAAGGTTTACTGTATGAATTGTTCACCTTTCGGTTTTTTCCAGCCCTTGTCTTGTGGACGTCGAATTATCTTACTAACCGGAACATCTCCGCTCGTGTCGATGGGGTACAATCAAAGCCCTTCGCCGTGAATGTTGGTTTTCCCTCAGGTTCTGTACTTTCACCCACCCTCTTCCTGCTCTTCATCAATGATCTCTTAACCACCACTTTCAACCCCATCCACGCCTTTGCTGATGACGTCAACCTTCACCACTGTCTTTCGTATCCCACCTCCCACCGTGTCACCGCCAACATCGACCGCAACCGTTATGCCCCTGTAACATCGCTCAGTTCGGACCTTGAACAGACCTCTCATTGGGACTCTTAAAAGCGTGTTCTCTTCAATACTTCTGGAACATCTCTTCTTTCAATTTCTCTCAAAATCCATCTTTGTTCTCCCTACTTGAATTTTTGATTCGGTTCCTCCTCATTCCTCTATCTCAATGCCCTTTTTGGGTCTTTTAATCCTCTCCTCTCTATCTTGGTCTTCATACGTTTATTCGCTTGCGTTTTGCGCTGCGGATAAGATTGCTTTTCTGTTCTGCGCCAGACCTTTCCTCAAACCATCCTAACCTCCTTACTGTACGAAGCTCAAATTCGCCCCACACGTGGGGTGGAGCTTCGTCTCCTTCCTTATCTCTTCTCGACCGGGTCCAAAGTAAAGCCATTCATCTAGCAGATGACCCAGCTTTAACATCCCATTTGCAGTGGCTTATCCATCGCCGGGCAGTTGCTTCATTGTCCTTGTTCTACCGCTATTATTCCGGGTTTTGTTCCTCCGAGCCTGCCTCGGCTTTTCCTATTCCCAGTAGCTTTCAATGCCAATCTCGAGCACAGGCAACTAGTCACTCCTATCAGGTTTCTGTCACTCGATCTCGGACCTCAACCTTTCAGTCTTTTTTTTCCCGCCAAACAGTTAAGTTATGGAACATCCTCCTCCTCTTTGTCTTTCAACCCACCTACAACTTTTCTCTAGTCAAGAGCGGAATCAACCAACTGGTTTTGACGTGAGAGTTCCCTACAAACTCCTCTTACATTGTTTTTGAACTACGCGGTTTACACCCTTTACTGTAACTCACTTCGTGTGTAACAAAGAAAACCATCGTAAATTTCGAATTGTGGGATGTAAAGAAAACGAATGTAGATGAGCGCGTCATTTGATTGTCACCGTTCGAAGTAGAAAGTATCGTACCACACAACGTTAAATTCCGTCATACTGGCATCATCACGCAATAATCCACACTTTTGTAAACAGTCTGATTATATATCGACGGTTGAAAATAAGATTTGTTGGTATCCAGAATCACTTTTCAGTCCATCAGGAACAATTTCAGTTATTTCTGAGTTGAACCGACTGGGGTAATAGAATGTTTTAACTAAAGCTGACGTATTCTTAGACGACTTGGAAATTCTTTCCCCTACGTTCGATAGTCCTTTACAAGTATTCGGCGTCTTTAAAAGAATCTTTCTGTTTTACAATATCCTCGTGCCGTTGTATCGTAGGTCACTAACTCCAGGGTGAAGGAAGAACCTTGTGGAATGTTCACATGTTGACGATTAGATCAGGCCTAGAAGTGACTGGACCACAGCACCACGGACCGGAAATAGCCGTGCTTCTGCTGCAACATTACCAATAGCATGGTCAAGTACCAGCCATTTTTGTCATACTATCACTCTCTATCATTACAACCCGCTGGAAAATGGTTAATATCGGAATACACAGGAAGACAAAACAAATCATAATCTGTGTTTCATTCAATCCGCGACGCTGCTTAGTTGCTCAGCAATCGAAATTTGAGTACAGCTTTGCTATTCCCACTTCCTAACTGGGCTTGATCAGGGCCACAGAAATGGCAATGCTTCAACGTCAACAGCCCATTGCGCAATTTGTGCCGGTTTATATGTACTGGTTTGGAACGTCTACCCCGTCGAATTAGAAAAACTCACCTATCTCCGAGCCGTGCTATCGCGCTACAACTGACTACAACAGTATACTAAACCTAGATCAGAGGGAGAGGTTGTTTTCCCACGTAATAGAATAGCTACTACTACTGCCACCACTACCACCTCTGTTCCCCATTAACTACGGGCATTATCTTTTCCAGCCTAATTCATCTTCTGGTACAGCAACTGAGAGGCTAGATTTCTTTGATCAGACAACCGGGCAGAACAAACCGACCACAATCCCAGGACTTTTAGTTCACCTAACAACGGTCGATACGCCTATCGAATTACGAGAGTGGGCATTTGAACCTTGTCAGTTGTGCAATCAGGTCGTGAAAAACGAAGATGGTCGTTTTTTTGCCGACCAAAGAGATCCGCAGCCCATTTTTTTCAGGTGGAACATTTTCGAATGAACGCACTCATAAAATGGAATAGCAATAGGAGTACTGAGTAGATGGCTGAGAAATTCACAACCCGGAATTATTTTTCTTCGGGAAATTCGGCAGCCCAATCGGACGGGATAAAGCATACGTTGCACGTGTACTTAATTTGACCGTGGACTGGATAATCCATTATTTGGACCCCATATGGGCAAACACAGTGACCTTATACGATGGAACTACTTAATCGGCACTGTCCTCGTTTGTCCGGTATCCTCCGCCCCCTCTCCTCCGACTTTCATTCATTGGCTTCTCTCTGGTTTATACTGTTCACGTTCATCTCACATAACTTGGAAAAAATGACTGAGTGTGGAAATCACGTGTTAGCAGCCATCTTGCTTTGCATTGATCATGCTGAACGGATATGTCACCGAGAGAGAGAGAGAGGAAGGAAGAAAGAAAGAAAGACAGGAGAAAACCGGAGACCGGATATACTGGGGAACACAATCTTGTAAGGCAGGAAGATAGATCAGTATGGGCGTGATCGGACACAGGAGGGCAAGTATAGAGGTAACACCGGCAAGTGTTCAAAGAACGGAAATATACAGTCGCAAATGAGTGACGGATAAATGAAGCAGAAGTGAAATAATGTTCCTCTAGGAAGTTAGTGGAAATTCATTGGTACAAAATTCAACATGATTGTCATTTTTATCATTATCATCATCTGTTTTAATTACACACATGCACGAGTGCAGTGGAGGGCGCATAGCCCTTAGCTTTAAAAACCATCGAACTACTAAGGATAACTTGAAATATAGTTCTGAAACTTCGAGTGAAGTAAAGAACTACATAAGGCTCAACAGGTTAGGCTTGCACTCATTCAATAACCACAAGAGCACAGTGCACTACCAAGCCCAATCGGTAACAATGACCTTGAATCCTGGAGTGACAATTCTCGCAAGACCCCAGAAGTGGTTGTGGTGGCGGCGCCACTGGGCCGGATCACGTGGAAACCCGTGTGCTGTCTACAAGATTGAAGAGGATCGCGAGGGGGGGGGGGGATCCGAGTCCCGTACCTCGGGATTTGACAACCAAACAGGTGTATCACTTAATCCGGAACAGAATCAAAGCAGGACTAAACTTAGCACGATTTAGAAAAAAAACATCCCTACAAATGAAAGCGTGAAGATGATACGACAAGGAATGTTAGATAGATAGGACTGGCTGAACGCTGATTCGATCAATAAAAAGACAAATGACTAAAGGGAGAGGAGACTGTCTACTGCTTGCATGGGACTAGGTAACCAGTTTCTGTAAGGCAACGATAAGCAGACAACCTGGCAGTCACTTGAAAAGAAAGCAGAGGTGACAAATCACGACCAACATGTGAGTGGAGAAATTTCTCAGGTTTTCCTACTATTCAGTTGCCACTAACGAACATTCAGTAGCCAAGTCATTCTCGACGCAAGCTCGTACCGCAAAATTTCACACCATGCCCATAATTTGAATCCCGCCCAATGTGACTTCCGTGGACGTTGACAAATTCGGTCAAAAATGGAAAAGTATTGGGTGGTCATTGTTTGTGCAGTGGACAACTGTTCACGGGATCTGGTTAAACGTGCCCACAAAAGTAGACACGGCCGTGATCTTGTGGTATGGATATGCTCGACGGGCTTCGGTAGTAAATTTCAGGCACTGTCTACAAAAAGATTGCCAGTAGATGCAAAATCACAGGAAAATCGACAAGCATCAGATTGTACATCGTTCACCGTCAAGATTATATATATATATATATATATATATATATATATATATATATATATATATATATATATATATATATATATATAACAATTGAACGTGATCATACATTGAAGTGCACATGTGATTGTGAACAATTTCATCTTTGGAACGCAAGGGATGTTTGTTTATTTTTGATTGTTTCGGTACGATAGGATTTTTGGCTTGCTTGGGAATTTTGCATGCATTCGCAGAGTGGGTGAGTGCATGAGAAAAATGTGACCGTCCCTCCCAAAACAACCTACCTGTTCTCGTGATATGACTGGTTTGGCGAGGCTGAAATGCGCCATTTGCACTCGACAACTTCTCCAGACTCATTGTACTGCTTTGCATTTCCGAATGGTAATCCTGGACGGCCGTGTGCATCCCGAGCGATAATTCGTAAACCCAGACGACCACCCAAATGTGCCTCAGTCGGAAAGAAAATAAAACCGCGATGACAGGGTTCTGAGGGCCAAGCATCTGTCTGCACGAGCATTGTGTTCAGCCGGCATCCGGAAGTGAAGGTGGGAGAGTGAGAATGAGAAAAATGATCAGAGAAAATACACAACTATGATGCAGACTATCAATCCACGTTGTTACTGAGCATTTGCAGTGAAGACTGTTGTGGCAACAATCAGAAGGGGCCACAGAATCGATCGCATGAATCAACGAAGAGCCATCGACAACCAAGCGGATCGCAGTAGAACTCAGGAGTCAGCAAGAGGAGCCGGATCAATATACCAGTCGGGGTTCATGGGATTAACACTACAAGAACAGTGTGCAAACTCAACGCCCGCTGATATGGTAAAAAGGAAGCCGAAACGTGTATGGTGTAGAGGAAGAGATTTTCTTCACGCATGTCTTGCCAAAAGGAACTAACTGACTTATTAAACACAGCTGTGTCTGTCTAACTTCTCGTTCTATTTACAATATGACTAACAACTTTAAATCGATCAGGATAACGCAACAGAACGGATACAGCTACTCCACAGGGTAATTTAGACATTGAAGAAGAACGCAAAACCACCAGGCCCCTGGAGTCAGAATGAGCAATTAGGCCAAGACTCACGAGTTCAGTTCAATACATTCAACCACTAACCTCACACCACTGTCCTCTGGCTTGGTTCCTAACTCGGAGCATCCCTGAGTCAAGGGCAAAGGAACAGAATCACAGAGTGAGAAGGTAATACACGGAAATCACGAACACAATGAAAGAGCTCGAATGCAACTATCCCACTGGCCACGACACCTAGCCACATCACTTAGTGTTTCCAACCATCTGGTAGTGAAGTCGCGTGAACCCCAACCCGGAAGTCTAACACGTCCTACCTGGCCAAGTCCATTGGTCAACGTTTTCGTACGTTTGTTATGTCACAGACTGACCACCTCGACCTACATTTCAACCGCTAACAGTCTGGGAAAACGGCGTAAGTCGAGGGAGTCTATCAGTGGGCATGCGTAACACACATCCCAACCACCTTAACCTCTTTAAATTCAGTACTTGTTCCAGTGACTGGCCACCGGTTCCCAGGATCATAAAGATAACTTCAGTACTACTACAAATTCAAGCAATCCTACGGAGACGTCAAAAGTCTTCGCCTATCTCCCACCCTTAACGGCTATTTTCTGAGCCGTACAAAAGAGCCCATCTCACTGCCGCAGTGTGCACTCGACACTTGACAGACTGTCCGATGTCACACCAGCACCACAGTTGACCGAGGTTAGCAAAAGCCAAACGCGCCTTCTGTTTACGTCATTACACTTCATCCGATGTCTGCCCACTTGGTGAGATGTAACCGCCGAGGTAAAAACGCATATACTTCAGATAGATATTCCCTTGCAAAGACAAGAGTTAGGGTATCGTCAACCCACTTTGAAGGTGGGAAATGCATCCCAAACATTGCTACACTGTTTTTAAGACTATCCAGGAAAGCTTAAAAGCTACCTGGATCTTCACTCACAAGAACAATATCGTTCACATATCCAAATGAAACAGTTTACTGCTTGAGCATAGATCAATGCCATTATATTCTTACACGAGGATAGGGCTATCCCAAGAATCAATTCAATTACAAAACTCAAGGAGGGTAAAAGAGGGCAACCCTGACGATAATGACCTCGGGTGAAAGATCGCTGTAAGCACGAACTCGGCCTTGGGCATTTGCTCACAAGCATTAGAAAAGAGAAATACATTTCTCTGACACCTTTCAATGGGAGGCAGCTCCAGAGAACTGTGTGGTCAAGCGAGTTGAATGCCGCCTTCGGATCAAGGGAAGTAGAAACTGTCAACCTATGGAAAGTATCCCTGGAAAGCAGATCGTCGGTTATCGTCTAGAAGCAACTGCGTGGTACGGGTGGCTTTAGCGTGGGTGCGACCACGGACAGGATGCAAACAGAAGTGAGCGCGTACCAAGATGTGGTCTGAGTTCACAGGCTTAGACCAAAATGAATGACAATCTTCAACTGATTCACGCCACCGGTGACCAATGACAATATGGTCAATCTGACTCCAACATTGTGAAGACGTAGTAGAACGCCATGTCAATATGTGCCGCTTCTTACAGCAGAAGTTTGTACTCTCCAGAAATAGTCTATGGTCGAAGCACAGCTGGATGAGACGATCACTGTTATCGATGCGATCGGACTGGATAGTAAACGGGCCACGACGTACCTTTCGGAATCCCTTAAACATGCAATTGGGGCGCTGAAATCCCCAGCAATGACAACCGCGTTTGTTGAGCGGATGCTTCGGAGCAGCTGGAACAAATTCCGATGGAATTCATTTTTGGGTTTCAGATGAACTGCAGCTAGTGGGCGCGCACATAGGTACGACGAACTACGGTAGTCGGTTGTCTGATGAGTGGTCTGTATTTGAAGTCTTTACTTTAGTCGCAGTGGTGCATTTGTACTGTAGGAACATCAAGTGTTGGTTTCAGAGATTGGAAAATTTGTCTGATCCTATCATGATGCTCGTGTTGACAAACTTACTGATCGACATCCACTACCAACACACACGTACGCATGCACATTACAATATCGTTGCCTAAACTGTGACCCAAACCTGCCAGACTTCGCCCGAGCCTACAGATTCATTGCCTGTCTGAACAGACTCGCCTGTGCTTACAAGAAACAACAGCGATTCTTTGTCCATGATCTAAGAAACAGTTTATCTGCATTGCGTTTGTATCCCTCCAAATGTATATAAAGCTTGCTCATCGTCATTAATTAGCAAGTTATTTACACGTTTTGGCTCCATTGGTGGGAAGAGTCATTCCCACCCGACTGGAGCACGTCTATTCTGCCGCCCATTCTGAAGAAAAGTTGATAAACTGGTATGTCAGAACTACTGATGGAACAGCTTGATCGATGTCGCCGCAAAGATCTTTGGTACATTGTTATCAGAACGTTTGTTCGAGGCAAAAGGCCGACGCACTCGCCCGAACCAAGAGGGTTTCGCCGTGGCAGAGGTTGTGTGGATCAAATCTTCACACCGCTATAAGTTCCAACAGCCAACGGTAGCTTGCTTCGTCCACTCATGGGCCGCTTTCGATTCGGTTAACCGTGAGTCCCCTAGGGCCATAATACAACCCGATGGGATGCCCGATAAGCTCATAAGGCTGTTGAGCGGGTACTATTTGACAACTGGTGCTAGGGTTTGCATGTATAGCGAAGAATCCTGCGAGTTCGCACTCACTACCGGACTTCGACGGGGCTGTCGCCTCTCACCGGTGCTGTTTAACTAGGTCATTGAATGGACAATGGGTCACGCGTTACACGACTACCATGGCGTTCAGCCAATCCAGGAGTTCGCGGATGATATTGTCGTTCTGGAAGACTCACCCACTACGCTCCAACCAATCCTTAACCGAATCTATTTTTCCGCGAAGTCCAATGGGTTAGAAATGAATTCAACCAAAACAAAAGCTTTCACAACCCGTCTAGGCTTGACATTTCAACAACTGTTCATCAATGACCGACCAGTCGAATACGTCCCTTCATTCAAACACCTTGACTCAACGGCCAGGCAAAAGATGAAGTGGTGTTACGGATAGACAGCATCAGGAGAGCCTGCCTTCAGCCATAATGAACGCTGTGGACTCGCAGCGAAATCAGCTTAAGGACCAAAAGTGCGTGTTTACCGTGCCGCCATTGCCCCCGTACCCATCTATGGATGCGAGACCTGACCACTACGAGCTGAGGACACCAGAATGCTAGAGGTTTTTGACCACGGGTGCATGCGACAAACCCTCAAAGTCAATCGGCACGACAAGGTGTCCAACGAAGAAGTAAGGAGACGATGATCTGATGTCGATGCGCTCTCCGTCATCCTCCAACGTCAACGACCGCAGTGGTTCGGCCATACCCTTCGGCGGCTTGAGGTAGGGATAAGCAAACAAACGCTGCCCTGCTCCTTGCCCTGGCTGGCGTTGTCACCTTGGTGGACAGCTCAAAACATGGATCAGTACAATAGAAAAAGACGTAGAGCTTCTTGGTCTTCGGTCGGTCTATGGAGTTCGACAATGGAAAAATGATTGGATCACGATCTGCACCGAGATCGCCTCCGACCGCTGCGCCTGGTCAGCAATGTTCCGTAGTATCCATGGAGCCGACTCATCCTCTTGCAGGAGATAGTCACGTCAAAGTATTGCGTTTGCTTCCATGATTCATAAGACAAACTGCCACACAATCCTCTCCTCTTAAGCCAGTGACCGTTGGGCGCTGATACAATATGTAATTTTGAAAACAAAATCGTGGGAAGCCAGCTCGGTATTCTATTGAGTACTGTGTATGTGAAACGTACACACTCTTGTGTGTCAGATATCGAGTCCTTGTTAGGACTCACCGATTCTGCGTTGAGGCTGACGGTTCCTAATAGATACGACAAAACAGCTACACAACAAATGTAAAAATCATTCAGATTGTGATTCCATTCATAGGAATGAGTGATGTGGAAGGGGTATATATATCTCAGCTTCAAAGTTTCATTACACAATCAAGGATGATCGCTATATGATGATCCTGGGAGACCTGGATTGCAGAACCAGTACAGATCAAGAGTCGTAGCCAGCCGAGTGATAGTAGATTGCTGTCCAACACCAATAAGGCCAGCAGTGGTGGTGGCTGGACTCGAACCTCGCGCTGCCCGCACCCCGGTGATAAAGATGTGCACCGATCGGCCACTAGACTGCGAATATCCTCGTTGTACCCCATAGCTTAAAATGTCTTATCAGCGCAACTGAACACCAGGGAAGTGGGTGCATCAAAATGCGTCGTCCTTTTGAATTAGTTGATACGATCCGATGAGTTTCATCATCCGACAGCTGAGATCAGTATTCATGGGACGGAGCAATCAAATACAAGAAACCAGAAAAAAATATTAGTCTCCAGGAGGAAATTAGAAACTTGGTAGGTTAGCAACAGAATTTGATGTTATTTATTGAACCCATGAGAGCTGTTTTTATCAACTTCGAAAAAAATAGTAGG